AGTATTTAAAGAAAAGCCAATTAATAATCCTTTTTCCATTTACAGAACTTTACTTATAACCCGTTTGTTCTTTTAAATAAGACAATCATTTGTTTTGAATATTTAAACTGGCTTTGGACAAGTAATGTCTTTAAACTCATCTCTGACAAATGGACGAATGTTTTGGTAAAGATACTCTTGCCTTTTGTAATCCAAAAGAGGAGGGGTTAGTATTAGTACTAGGATAAAAAAAGATTTAATTTCTTTGGTAATTGCAGAAATACTTGCTTTTTTAGTTTTTAACAAATTAAATTCAGTAAAAGTACCATTAGCAACCATTTGATATTGGAGCTTTGACAATTCCAGGATTAGCCGCTTCAAAAACAAAATGCTGATATTTTTGTAAACTATTCAATTTCTTAAAGAAAATCCCCAACGCGGAATTAAGATCCAAGTACTGAAAGCCTTTTTCATTGCCATAACACTGAGCTTTGTTTAATCCTGCTGTACTCGACTTTTTCACGACCTCAACAATATGATCTATGCAGTCTACTGTCATCTTTCGATATAGTTTCTTAACCAACCCAAAACTACCATCACGCTTGAATTTAGCATGTCCAGGTATCATGAAATCTAATTCAATACTTTCGTAATAACCACAGATTACTAAATACAGATAAAATCAAATGGTAGCATTATTTTTATTCTGTCCGCCTGCATTGTCGCAAGTAATTTTTAAATATTTTTCGCCTTTATTCAATCTCTTAATTCCATTGAATACCATGCTTAGCGTACCATTAGGACCTTTGCCAATAATTTCGGCTTTATCGAGAACGTAATTAATTTGTTCGCGTATTGCCTCATCTTGAATACCAAATAAATGCACTTTACGCGGACTAAGGTAATAAATCTTACTTACTTGTTGATCGGAATGGGGTACATGAACGTGTTGTGCTCAATCGTAACTGTAATGAGCAGTAGCATCAACATTACAATAATCAGCTTTACCTCCCGTCCCAAGATAATTTTCGAAATTTCTTTGTTGTTCTGCTAATTTCGTATTTTTGTTGTAATAATTTCTCTCTAATTTAGCTTTAACTAGATGTTCTTTGAATTTTTTCCATAAATCTTTCGCTTCTTCCTTACGAGCATTATACTGTAAGCCGTTCCGAAAATGTTGGCACGTGTCACACAAATCCGTTCTTGGACTCATTATTTGAATATAGTGCGTTAATTGGTGCCATAACTTGCGGAATGCGTCATATTTTAACAATTTCAACGTGCTATTGTTTTCGAGACCTGCAATAAAATCGCGGTAGACCGATTTGTAACTCGTTTCGGCTGGCAAAAGTGTAAGCGATTGAGTAATTCGGTTGACGTTTCTACCAGGACTTGGTAATCCATGAATCTCAGCATAATTTTCGAGAAAATTTTTCACAGTGGTAGCAACGGTTATATCAATGGTTATTTTGGTTTTTCATCGTGGCACTCTTTTTACATTGCCATGAACGCGCGGTGTTATGCCATTCGCCGCTAAATGGTTTCTGACGGTTTCGAAGTGAGTGCGACCAATTCCTAACATATTAAGATACGTTTTCTGACAAAGTGGCGTATTGCGATCTCAATAGTAAAAGGTTCGCTTATTAGTACGCCTTTTCTTTTTAAGACGTCGACTGGCGGTTATTTCTCCTCCATTCATTGCTTTCAACTGGGCCATTAAAAATATATCTTGTTCGGAATTAGAGAGAGCTTGAAATGCTTCACGTAATTCGGCAAAATTTTCTCTCAGAATCTTTTCTGAGCAACCGCGATTGCAACTTACCTCTAAGAAGCGCATGGCTTTTTCATATTCAGTCGAACCATTATAATTATAATTTTCCATATACGGGTATTCCTATATATATAAATTTTATCATTTTGCAATTTGTTTTTCAACGCTATATTTTGCCTTTCCATAATATACACGTAGTCCTATGTCAATATGTCATATGTTTATTGTTAATTCAGTTATTGAACGACGTTTTTGAACATGCTATATTAGTATTGTCAACAACCAATTTGGGCTTAATATTAAGTTTAGTATCCATTATAGCATTAAACATCAGTACATAGGTTTAATAATTTGCTTGCTAAAAACATCAACAATGAACTTGCAAAAAGAATTTTTATATATTTATTCTTGTTAAAGAAGCGCCATTCACGTATAAATCTTTCCTTAACACATAAGCTTCCACCTGTGCAACCCACTTGCCCTTTATTGTTTACCTCTCCTTTTTTCTCCCCTTGAAGCATATGGACGGAATCTACAGTCTAATAATACTTCTTTCTTTCCAAATTTCCCCATGATCTGGGTTTGCTGTTCTCCATTCAGGATCAAAAGGAGTGACATAAGAAACAACCATCTGTTTCAGAATTCCCATCACTTCATTGTCCAAAAACTTAAAGCAATCCATTCCAAATGAAGACATGCATATTATTTTCTTGTTAAGTCTTTTCATCTGGCTTTCAGATTTGGTATGTGAACGAGTGGCAGGTCCTTTCTGCCCTTGATCTTTGAACTTTTCCGGTATGTTTGGAGGGTCAACGAACCACTTGCCAGTGTACCCAAGCTGCCAATAAATGCTTAAATACTCTCCACCGTAATGCTCAAGATCTTCACCTGTAAAAACTTGTTCAGGACGCATCTTGGCTGATGAGGAATACTTCTTATCTGCCCTTGCATAGGGACTGTGGTAATTTTTCACTTGGATAAGAATAAAGGAGTACTGCCCACTTGCAAGCAATATTGGGATCATCAGATCGGCTGCCTGCTGATTGAGTTTGAAGATAATTGCAATGCGGCGGTGATAATATCCTTTGAGTTCTTCTTTATTTGGTATGTAATCAACTGAGACAAAATGTGTGAAGGCCACATGGCCATCCGGAATGTGCTTGAGTGTTTCTTCATTGTCTGGGTAGAGCAGCTGAACAAAGTCTCTAAGAATGATGGGGAAACTAAACCACTTTTTCTTAAGGTGTCTGACCGCAAGAATCAGAATGAGTTGTGCCACAAGTTCCCCACATGGACCAGGCTCCACGATACCCTTCTTCAATGAATCATTGAAAGTTTTTAGAACTTTGACCAAGTTGCCTTTGTCTTCAATCAAGAAGAATCCCGCTTCTGCCAACAATGGCTCTGAGGGGTAACCAACCAACAGATTTTCCCTGTCTTCTGAGATCGCGTAGCATGTTGCTGCATGTGATGCGACAAGGTCAGATGCCAGTGTTTAGTGTTGGTTGTGACGAGATCTCCAGACAGGCCAGCAGAGATACAATGGCGATGCTCGCACGGATGATATCAGCACGCGTCAGATCATCAACTCCCCCAAGGAGCTTGATTTTGAAATGTTCTATCAAATTTCTGAGGCGTCTGGGATTTTTCTTGTTGCTCTCTAAGTAACTATAGCCTAGTGGTCTTCCTAATCTTGCCAACACAAACATTTCTCTATTTTCTGGGTCAGTAATGTCAAGTGGGATTTCACTTTGCTGGAATACATCCATGGTGGAGAGCTTGATAAAGGGTGTAAAAAGAATCATACCAGTTTCTTGGTCCACATTCACATTGTCATCTCTGGTAGATGGATCAGCTGCAGTGGGTGGTGCAAAATTTGCTACTTTACTAAGCATATCCAGAAACAATACGAAGAATCCCATCCATTTGCCCTGCCGCTGATCTGTCGCAGAGCTCTTCGAAAAAGTCTGAATGGATTAATGGCATCTTTCCGAGGAGGAAGAAGAGACCGTGCCTCATCAATGCATATAATCATCTTAACGTCTTCTTGCCCATATGATTGCCAAGGGAGATTTTGAGACATAATGTCCAACACGTCGTTTTCAGTAACTTCTTTCCAATTCTTTATGTTCCTCAGAACCTCAGTCCAGAAGGAAGGACCCCAAAGCCCCATCTGTAGGTCCCACATGTGCTCGGGCGAGTGACGTTCGCTCTTTGTGTAAAATAAATTCATTAACTGAAAAAGAATGTAAGCAAGTCGCCATTCTTCTCCCTGCCGAAGGTGTACGAAAAAGGTTTTTTCCAAAAAGTTTGCAATGATCTCTGTCCGTGGAGGATATCCCGTACTTGCTGCAGGACGTAAGCAAAGGTAAAGCGTGGGAATGTCCTTGGCGACCTCTTTGATAAGACGAGATTTGCCGTATCCTGAGGCTTGGAACAATGTCCAGTATGGAACATATTTAGTTCGATGTTCCGTCCAATATCGGTGCTTAGCATGAAGCTCACGCTTGAAGTCTCCAATGACATTTTCAGCATCAATGTAACTTAAATTAAAAGCTAGCTCCACTTCATTTTGTTGAAATGGTGAAATATCAGCTTCTACTTTGTTCTGTTCGCCTTCTGCTGAAGCCGCCACCATAGGTTAGAAAAGAAAAAATGTAAAGGAATGCGAAAGGAGACAGTTAGTCAATTTTGCAAACAGCACACCAAGGTTGCTCAAATGAATGGACTAAAACAGACATACAGTGATATAATAACATTTACTATGTTCTATTCTATACCCTCACAACGCGCGTGTTGTGATGCATTCAACCATTCATCCTCTGTTGACCCCATGGAACCCCCGCTGCTCCTCTATTAACCAGAATTCTCTTGTCTCCTCCAGTTCACCTTCAAACGAGTTACATATAACCCAACCTTTGCTACGACTCTGCTCTATGTCCCAAACCCAGCGCATGTCGTAATGCATTTCAACTATCCTCCCAATAAACGCGTATTCATTGCTTGCTTACCTTGTTGTGTCTTGAGGTACTCTTCATAGATTTCGTCTTCAGTAGCTTTAGGGTATTTCTCTTTGTATTGAGCAACGAATTTTCCATATGCGCGTGGGTCCATGTTGTCGAATTATGAGAAGAAAGAAAAGAACGCGCGTTTATCTCCATGGCCATATCACGTTGTGGAACAATTGCATGCATCAAATCAGATTGTCCGACTGCTGCCCCTGTGATTGATGTTTGAAACCTGCATTTCAAGTGGCAGTGCATGTGATCATTTCAATCAAAGTTTGATTACTTATTTTCGACTAGTTTAATATCCGTCGTCCGACTAGTATAAATACCTACTTCTTTGTTTGCTCGAACCTTGTCTCTCAATTGTCATACAATACAAGTTCTAACCATACCAATAATGATTGTTATACTGTCATAAAGAACAACAAAGACGATCAAGATGTGCTTTATATGTTTGAAATAATCTTTGTTTATCACCAAAAGAAAAGGGATTCAGAGGTAAATCAAACGGTTTTTGTCTAGACTTTTAACAAATCGACCTACCTTTTATGAGCGCATGAAATTACTATATATAAACGAGACGGTCAGAATATCCCTTCTTCATACCTAACAATCATCAATTTAAATTGATCGTATCAATCGTAAAAGCTATCTGATCACTTTTGACTTGAACAAATTGAAAATGTCCACTTTCACCAACGAATTCTATTGTGGATTACTGATCGGAGTTCTCCTCGGCTTCATGCTTTATTATAAACTCCACACAAATAAACTTTACGACATCAATCAAAAGATTGATAAAATAATCAATTTA